GTTGTTTGTTATTGCTTGCTTTGGTATGGTCACTAATTGTTTCTCTAGAGAACCAATGGGATGTCTTAGATTTTAAATGGACCAATCACATTAATTTGTTGCTTTGGAGGAGTATCGTAGTATGTGTGTTAATTAAAGAAGTCTCTGAATGGTCCGGAGCAATCACCTAAATCTTTGGTTTTATCATCCATATTGTCTATGTGGAGATTGTCATCAGCTCAGTGATTTTCTCACCAAATTATTGGTGCTGTCCACTTGCTGTCACCTCGGTGATTTTCTCACAAAATCATTGGCACAGTCCATCTTTAGGAATCTTTATTCCAAAATGAACAATTTTTATCTATATGCTCCAACTTAGGGGATGTTGGAGTGTTAGTTTCATATTGTTTTACTTTCTATTATGTTGCATCGCTATTATGTCACTTTCCTATTATGTGGTTTTCTTATTATGTTTTACTTTCATAATATTGTAATTGACTTCAATATCGATAATATATAAATAGGTGATAAGGTGTTGGCTTTCAACTACAACAATGGTTAATTGATAACTAAGTGCATTTGATTCTTTCACCAAGTGAATAAACACAGAATTTTGATAATGCTAGAGTTCTCTACTTTTTTTTTTTTAATAAAAGGTGCTTCCACACTCTCTTGATCCCTTTCTAGCGATTGGCTCAGACATCCACTCTCGTAGCCAAACTACATGGTATTTCACAGATAGTCACAAGTCTGTGGTCCTTTACTGAAAACCTGTAATTTGTTCCCTATTATAAACCGTATTTCTACTGATTTGTGTTTTATGGTTTTGTGGTTGCTAGTTTTTAAGTACGTTAATATTTTTCTGACCTTGCCTGTACCAAATTGCAGGAACACAAGGATGAAATCAACCTAGTCTCTGACATGCTTACAGACAACTTAAAATTGATCTGGGACCACTTCTTATGTTTCGGTTCATTAACTGGAACAAAGTAACTTTCTGAAAAGGAGGTGATCCAGTCGCACCTTCCAGTACTGTTACCTTGTCACGACTTCACTCCAGTCACTAGCCCTGCCTTCGGCATCCCCCTCCTTCTAAAGCGGTGGGGTACTTTTGAAAGATTGTAGGTGATATGTACAGAGCGGAATGTTTTTTCTCTGATTGTTATCTAGTATGTCACAGGTGATTTTCTTATTGAGTTCTACAATCAAGTTTCCTATTCAGGTGCAATTTTCTTCTTGCATTCTGTTTTTTTCCCTGTTTTCCATTTGGAAAAGAATACAACTACTTTTTTAGAAATGTGCCAAGATCATACTAGTTATACTATAACATTTGAGAATATAGGATAGCAAAAGTGTCTCAATATATTGTGAATAGTCTTATTAGGCCTAGAGTTTCGGCAATATCTAAAATGCTTAGATAAGCATGGGTGATATATTTTATTTTTATTTTATTAGATCCTATAAATAGAATTGTTCTGTGTGAATGCAGGCTCAATGTGTCGAATTAAGGATATGTTTGTTTTTATTTTATTTTTTTTCTATCTTCTATTCCTATCTAAAAAAGTGATTCTAAATAAAGTGATTTTATCACCCCACAAGAGTGAGATGTGCACGGATTCACTTTATAGGAATCTACAGCCTGTAGGTGTGTAGTCACAAAGAGCAAGGATAGTTCTCTATCGGAGGACTTGCAGAGAGGACCACATTGCCCAGAGCTAGAAAAAATTTGTTCAATCAGATTTGATGGGATGCACGTTAATCCCATGAATTTCACATATATGGCATGCACGTTAAACAGGAACACAACGAGAAAGAGCTGGTTTTCCCCAATAGTTTCTGAGGTATGTAGTTCGATGTACGATTTTTGAACTTGGGTCTCCACCGATCATGTAACAATGTTTGTTCTTTTCCAATATAAAAAAGAGCGACCAACATTAGTTATGATAATTAAAAAGTGTCGTAGTTTGATAAAAGGTGTACAATATAAATTCAGAAGACCGCTGGTTTGTACTCTAGTGGTGATAATTTTTTGCACGTAGGGGCCCTAGTATTTATTTTGTATCCAAAGATTCTCAAGCAGAAAAACTCATAGCAGTGCCTTTTGGCTGAATTTAATAAATAGAGCGTAGAGCTCTATTTATAATGGCTGCTTTGGTTGTTATCAAAATTGGCATGGCACAAACGTAATTCACTAGCATTAAAAGCCAAACTATTGTCCATATTAGAGTTGGCTCCTTACCTTGCCTTTGGTATATGGGATTTTAATTCATAGGAATGATCATTAGTAAAGGTTCATGGGATTAATTCATAGGAATGGAATATCTATTACTTACTAATGATCATCCTTATGTATGGTTGATAGGAATTAAAATTCATTTCGTTACCAAGAAATCACTAATCCAACTATTCATGGGATTAGGCATTCCCAAATAAAAGTATGGTATTTCTTAGGGGTGTTCACTTTACCCTACAAGTAAGAATTATAATATTTTATTTTTTTATTCGATATTTTGAGAATTTTTTTTTTCTTGATCTATCCTATCTGATCAAGTTTATTATTCATATCCGAATTTCGTACAAAACAATCGAGATGGAAGTCGGGTAGGAAATTAGGTGAACATATATTTTTTAGTTATTAATTGTTAGATCATTTTAACAATTTAATTAAGTAATATGTAGCAATTAACTAATTTAATAAACCATAACACTAAAAAAAATACAATAAATTTGATAATAAATAAACAATTACGATAAGAAAGTCATAAGCATTAATACATTATATATGAGTCCGTTTGGTTAAGAAGAAAAAAATGATGGAAAGTGAAAATGATAGAAAGTGAAGTGAAAGAAAAAAAAAAGATAGAAAATATATTTTCATGCATATATTTGGTTAGAATGAAAAATTTACGGGAAAGTTTTAAAAAAATTATCATATTATTTGAAACAAATGAAAGTTAAAAGAAATTTTTTATAATTATTCAAATTACCCTTAAATATATTAAATTAGTCTAAAAAGAAAAAGATTTATATAATTATAATTGAAAGTTAAAAAACTTTTAAAAAAGTGGCTCAAAACCTAATTTTAAGACAATCATCAACACAAATATCTTTGAGCCAAATTATATGATTAATCAAATTCATACCAAAATTTTTTAAAATTAATAACTAATAAAATATTTTTTTTTAAAATAAGGGTAAAATAGGAAGTTAGTTATAGATCACAACTTTCTTGCAATACCTTGTGTGTTTTTACAAGAAAAAAAGTTGGTTATTCGTTTGAAAATTTAAACATGAATGAAAATTATTTTTTCTATTATTTTTTTTTTCATACTAACTAAACACATAAAAATTTAAAAAAATTTATCTTTCTTGCATTTTTTACCATTCTCCCACTAAACAAAATATTAAGATTTTTAGATTTTAATTTTTAAAAATTAATATACAGGTAGAATAGGATAGAAATATAAAAATTTTATAGGCATTTTACATTTCTATTCAATTTTATATAGAATATCTAAAGATCTTTCGTTGACTTATTCATTTATTTNGGATAGAAATATAAAAATTTTATAGGCATTTTACATTTCTATTCAATTTTATATAGAATATCTAAAGATCTTTCGTTGACTTATTCATTTATTTCGAGTAGTCAATCAATAAAATTGAAAAAGATAACATATGATTGAGATTAACGAATAATAGAAAATTTGACAAAAATGTTTTTCCCATTCCCAACCGAATCAAACTCTATCGGAGTATGGAAAGATTAAAAAACTCGATGCCCTCTTTTTCTCCTCCAACCCGTAACACTCCTCCTCTGCTCACCTCCCGGCTCGGCTCCTGCAGCGTCTCTCTCAAACAAGGGATTACAATGTTGACCAGGCAGATTAGATCAGATCTGACCTTGGGCAGCAATCCGGGATTACAAGTCTGAGAATACAACAGCACATACAAAAGAATTGCTGCAGCATCTAACTCTGAAGACCAAGTGTCTTCAGCCATAAGCCCATGATAACAATGAGCCCTAGGTATTTTAATTAACCGTAAAATTTTTTTAGTACATTGAAATATTCAAAATGTTTGTTGAGGTTTGGATGAAGGTGAATGATTTCGGGAGTTCTGCGCATGGCATGGTGTTTGATTGTTGACGAGCTGGCGCATGATATTGATTCCTGTGATAAGAATGCTTTGGATTTGTTGTAGTTGTGTTGGAGACCTACCAGAAACAAAGCTTGAACTGAAATAGAGGAATTGTGTCTCTGCATGCTAGGTGTTCGAGAAAATGTCTGATAGAACAAAAAGGGTCGGTTGGACAGTCGGTCGGCCGATCAGCCACTCTGCCTAACTGTGAATTTTCAAAAGGGTTTGAGCAAATGTTAAAAGTGATTTTTGTTGCATTAGTCTTTGTTTATTAGTATCTTATTAGATTGGGAAGACAAAGGTAAAGGTGTACATTGACTACTACTCGCTTCATTAGTCATGATTCTGATGAATAAAATCTTTTTATTTGTCAAGTTGCAACGGTCAACTGCATCCAAAAGTATGCAAGAAATTAGCAGTAGTTAGTTTGCCATGTTTTAAAATTAATAAGCATAATTAATGAAGTGCATTTTTCATTTCATTCCATTCCATTCTAGTAAAAAAAATTACTTCATGTAAAAGTAGGAATGGAATGTGCATTTTATTCCAGCAATTATTAACAAACTGTGCCAAACATTAGAATGGTAATACTACTACATTCCGTTCCCATGTTTATTCAATTTCTACGTTTATTCCATTCTCACACAAAAGTATTATCGCATACTAAACACAGCATTAGAAATTCCCTTGTCGATCAAATCACAAGATTCAAGCAAGCTTTCAATATTAACATTGTGCCAGTATTTTTCCATGGAATGACATCTTTGCAATTTAGACACCCGAGTCACAGCAGATTCCTAGATTTTTATTTCTTATTTATTTTGAGTCTCGGTAGCAGCTTGTTGGATGAAGCAGCAAATTCATACTTGAGACAAAAAGACCACCATACGAAAGCCTGGCTTCCAGTTGTATTACATATGATATTCAATCACACAATGCCTAGGCATCAAGAAATCGAGTCAGAAAAACAAGCTCTTACCAAGCGGCAGAAGGCTACGCAAGGCTGACCTTACCCATAACCTGTAGTGGTAGAAATCTTGTGCATTAGGCTGCCTTTTTATACCACCACACCCAACAGCCTGTCTCAAAACTGTACACAAGAAAAGAAAATATTTGAAATGTATTGCATGGAGAAAACAAAAGCTATACAATTGAAATTATGGTTGAATCAGTCAACTGCTGATAAATTACATCTCTCCCAAACCAATTTTATCTCAACTTCCGCAAGGGCAGAGCTCGTCCAAAGAGTTTTTCTACCTCGCTCGCTTCCAATTTAAGCTCACTCAATATGTCCATCTCTTCTTTACTCAACTCCCTCAGGAAGTTTTCCTCATCTTGTTTGAGCACTTGAAGGCCTTCCATCAACCTTTGAAACAAGGTAATCTCAGTGTCCTTCACCTTCTCCACCCCCTCTTCTATCTCTTCGACCTCTTTTATTATAGCCTTCTCTCCTTCTTCGACCTCTTTTATGATAGTCTTCTCTCCTTCTTCCACCGTCTTCTCCAGTCTCTCTACTAGGGGAGGTTCAGGTCCACAAGTGTTGTCCGTTCTGATAAAGTTGTTGAAGTTGCGTCCTATGCTTTGAGCTGCCTTTTCTAATTCAGGTATGATACTCTCAGGCAAAACTGCACTTCTTGTGTACACAACAGCACCACCATATCCATCCCATGCATCATTCCTGCCTCGATAATATACAAATACATAGTCGTCCGAGTTGTTTTGTATTTTGGATGACAAAATATACCTGCATAATTCGTTTCAATTAGCTCAGTTCGTAAGTAAAATAGTGATGCCCAAATTCATGACACAACTAACAAAAAGTCCAGGTTCAAGTCTGAGAATTAAAGCCACAGGCATGGACATTCGACACCCTAATCATCTACAAAGCCATGCGGATAAGGTGTGACAAAAATGTCAACTCATTTTTTCTTTTTCAAGTAAAACAAATGAAAACTGATGTAGAACATGCAAGAGAAGACAAGCAAATCGGAGTCAGAATTGGGCATTGAGGTCTATGTATGTGGTCTTTATTGGGCTTACAAAGTTTTGATGGTCACCAAATCATGTGCTAGACCCATGTATAGGGTTTCAAACCAGCATGATTTCTTATATTAGACTCTCACTCACCACACAAAAGCACAATAAAGGACTAGGAATAATCGACAGCCTGTAGAAACTTTTCAATGCAATAAAAAGTGTAAGTAGGGCCATTTGGGTTGTCACTTGGATGGCACCAAATTTTATGGGGTTGCTGCTCGGAAAGTTTTAAAAAATGTAAATGAATCTCCTGCGGCCTTCTCTTGGGTTACTCCAAAAACCCCTGAAGGTGCAAACACACCCGAACTCGAAAAAAAAAAACATGCATACAACACGTGCTCAGTGAGCATGGAAACAAAGTAGTAGAGCAGCATAGCAGACCAGTCATCTTGGTAGTGAAGATATTCGTTGTCGTGATTGTAGAGTATTCCAGGATGAGTTGGATCTTGCACAAATCTCTGCACAGCTGATCGAGTGAAAAAACCAGTGTCTGGAGTCCGTATACGCCATGTCAAATTTCCCACAAGTTTGTCCGCTTCTGTATGGAACTCGTGCAATTGGCAATCAAAGGCATCAAAAGTAGGATTCAAACCACTAGTTATGAACCACTTGCCACTAAAATCTCTGATGTTGAAGTTCTTAACAAGGAGATCAAGATTAGGCACGGGAAATTCACCCACATCAGATTTACGGGGCACACATTTCTTTCGTGAGACCGCACATTCATTGAATTGATCCACAACACTGTTTTCAAACAAATCCCCACATTTTATCTGCATAAGGAAGAGAGCAAAGAAATTGTGTCGATCAGAATTAGCTTCTCATCAGGAAAAAGTGGTTCATCCATGGACCCATTGAGAGCAATATGCTGAACGAACCTGGCACTCAGTCTCATCAGGTCTATTATTGCATGTTTGGAGACAGGCTACATTAGCTGCACATGATGGGTTTGCAATGCATTTGGCAAGTTCCACCCTGACCAATTTGACAGCTTCATTAACAAACATGAATGTACGGCCATATCTTGCAGCAAATAATTACAACTCTGGCGGCAGAATAAAGAAATCCAGGATTTAATCAATGAAGATGGTTTCTTTGAGATTATAAGTTGTGTATGCACTACCTCTTATGTACTGGATACCCAAATCTGGAACTTGACTGCTGAATATAACAAAGTTGGATCATGAACATATAGATCACCTTTCCTACTCATTTTATTCTAGTTTATCTTGTTTTGAAGGATTTACAAAAGATAACATATCAAAGAAAGAAAAAGCAAGTATCGTGTGAACCAAGATCACATTATAGAAAAAGAACAGAACGGAATTGGCACCACTAGCAGCAATCCACAAAAGGGTACTGAAAGTTATTACAGATATTGTACGATTAGCAATCTTAAGTTAAGCTTACTCTAAGTCTGTAGAATGAATATATTAGATGAGTCTCATCACAGCCATGTAACTTCACCTCCTTGCTCTCTCTGTTCATCGATATTTTGGTTTTTTCAAAAGCATGAGCTGAAAAACAAAAAGAACTGGAATGAGCATCAAAGAGATGCTCCTAGACGAATGTAATGACATCTTCTGTTTTATGCAAGCATCCGAACAATTTACTTCTATTTAAAAAGCAACTTCCAGAATCTAAAGTACTCCAGTTATATATATTCATGTAAATTCCTATCCCCGTAAATGACCACCTTGTAAGCTCAGGGATATTGAGTTTTTGTTTTTATTTTCGAAGGGCAAAGAATAACTTCAACATTTCGACGTGCACAATTGCCAACATTTGCTGCGAAGCAAATCTCACAAGTCTCTTCTCACCATCATACATGAATACATGTTAGGACACTCTTTTGCACTGCCAAACAGTCCATGCAAACAAAAAGACTAAGGCTTTAACAGCCTTGAGTCCTAAGCTGAGCCTGACCACTGACATCAACTGTGGTGCATTTTGTGAAATTAGTAACAATTGTGCAATACACAGAAGGCAGTATTTATCACTTGATGAGCACAGGGTCAGATGAAGTACAATCTATAAAAGCTCAATATCAATAGAGATTAGGATCAGAAGAGTTTCCATTTTTCACAAACCTTTAATATAAAATAATCTTCAATGAACAAGAGGACAAGAAGTTGTCCCACCAACGCATATGAAACGTTTGTATTTAAATGATCCAACAACCAGGTTAACCACCAACGGTAAATGTGTAATATAACACAACACCAACGGAAAAAAACAACTGTTGTTCACATTGATAAAGTGCCAATAAACAGTGGTTAGTTTACTATAAGTGACCTAAAGAAAGGCATGGCGTATAAGATAAAAACAGAAGGTATACTTATGCAGGACAAAAGTACAGAATTAACAATTAATGAGGCATAATGACAATTTTCAATCAACTTTGATGCAGTACCTGCACTCCTTCAATAAGCACGCACAAGTTTTGAGAGCATCTACAGCATCCGCCGTTTGAATGACCAAAAATGAGCAAGCCACTATGACAGCTACTTTCAGGAATTGAATCCATTTCACTTGAACAATCAGTATTCCTGGCTTTTGAAATTGAAATCTCTCCTTTTGCTATAAAAGAAAAGATTTTTAAATGAAATAGAAATGAAAAATCTCCTAGGAAGTAAAAAAATCAGAAAATTTGCATTGAATAACCAAAAGGAAATATGTTAGAGAACTTACCACAGGTATACTAGCACTGGTGCTGCACGATGAAGAAATCTTCTTCATTCCTAGTGAAAACAAATTTGAACATCTTGACTCCAACCCCCAATGTAACCTATGTCTGGACTTTCTTCTATTAGGCCACATTTTCACCACAACTATACCTTTGTCAACATCAGCCCCAATCTGGTGACATCTTTCATCACTTTGCCGTGATCTGGTATATAAACGGATGCTTTCACCATTGGAGAGAAAGACTGAATGTAAAGAGGCCGCCATACTTCAATGTGAAGACCGCCAATTATTACCTGAGAATAGTTTCAATCAATCAGAGGGGCTTCCTATCTTCTTTTCTCTTTTTCTTTATACGATTTTTTCAATAGACCAGATGAACAAAAATATTAACACTGATAAATCATGATATATCAAAGCAAAATTTATATATATATATATACAAAAATGTGCATGCATATAAAAACCATAGTCGCATGTACTGCAACACTTACAAGCAAAATGGTCCTCATAAAGGTCAATCAGCTTGAAACATGGAATTCTACTTGAAAATGTGAAACATTTAGCAAGTAAACACAACTTTCAAGTACGTAGAAGTTGTTCAAATCAATTCTGAGAATAAGTCATTTCTCTTGAGAATTAATTAATATCCACTTTCTTTAATACCATACTCAGTTTCCAATCACTATTCATTAGATGTGCTCTTTATCATATGAGCCTGCCCCGGCAATCAAGTGCTACAATGCCCAAGTTAAACCTGCTAACCAAACCAAAACTATAACCAAACTAAGTGAATGATTCCTAATAATCCCCAAGCTACATACCTTAAGAATTACTAGCTAGACACTTAAGTAACCAACCATTGCCTTGTGCAATAGCAAAAGTTTTGAGACAACCACCTTGATGGTGTATTCTAATCCAAATACGAAAGCAGCTGTTTCGAAAGTAATAAGAAAGGCTAAGTCTGTCCCAGTTCACCCATACGAACAACTACATTAAGGGGCCCAAACTCAACCGTCTAAGTTCTAACAACCTCAGCGAGGTCTCATCCTACCCCTAAGAGAAATAGAAGCACTCATTCTAGTATTCCACAACTTTCCACAACCAGCTCTCAGAAAGCTTTTAGCTCTAAAAGATTCACTCACATCACAGGCATCTGAGGGGCCAACATTGAATATTACACCCTAAGTAGTAAGCAATTTATCTGCAGTCCATTTTCACAGAAGGTAACTCCGATTGCGGTATAGCACCATTACTGAGTATTCATCAATAATTCACAAACCCAACTACAAAATAAGAACGTGAAAAGAAAAATTCTCCAGACATTTGATAAAATGCCCCATAACTGAAGACAATGGTAAGTTCAGAATACATATTCAAGTAAGAATCACCGGGATAGAAAGAAGTTTTGGAACACACAGACACACGCGCGCACACTGAGAGAGAGAGAGAGAGAGAGACGAAGCAAACCTTGGGAAGCTGACGGAAGGATAATGGGATAGAGGTTTCAAGTGGTGACGCATTTCGTAGCAGCATAGATACATTGAGGGGGAGAGGGGGCAAATAGGACTGACGTGTGGAGTAGGGAGCGGGTGAGGTGGGATAAGACATCTTGTGATAACAAGGCCTCTAACGTATTCCATTTGCCATGAGAGTAATGTTATTTTGATTTAAATGTTTAATCTAATTTTTTAGTTTTTTTTTGGGTAAACTTTATTGAGGTAATAATATAATAGTAATATAGTCTAATAATAGTAAAATAATATTATTTAAATTTAATTTATTCACATAATTTATTGATATAATCCATTACAACTATTTTATTGATAGTGGATCCCAACAATTATTAGAGTCCAATATAAATCTAATAGTTATGAATTATAATTGATTAGATTAATAAATTAGATCAAGTCTCAATAGCATTAAATATTAAACTTTCTCATGGGGACTTCACGACCTATCCGTAAATGAAGGTCATGAAGGCTAAGTAGATTGAAAATGAGTCTGATGAGAATCCATTGCGGAGGTGAATCCAAGTCAAGTTATATATAACGTCGAAGAAGCACTTTGGTAGACATATTAAAGGAATGAAGCATCTAACTATGGTATTAGTTAAACTATAAGATTCGACTACTTGTTTATTGACTTGGGGGTAGTAGATTAGATTTTGGTGAACCCAACGAGGTTTCCCACGATTTTTCTTGATGAGAGTTTTTTACGTCAACAAATCACTTCTGTCATTTATTGTTTATGCATATACTTGTAATTGTTTGTGCATAAGCGCACTGTGTTTTTATGAATGATTGATTGATATTTTTCATCTATAGTTGCGTTTGAGTTTTGGGTCATCATGAGATTGAGGGTTTGAGTGAATAAATTGAATATTAATTAACATCAATGTTGATAGGTTTAAGGGTTTATGGTGATTAAAAGAGGTTCTCACTAATTAATCGATCAATCATTTTGAGAAGAGGTCATTACGGTAGATTAGGTTTAAATTTGTAATTGATTGTACTTAGAATTGAAAAAACCTATTCACCCCTCGCCCTCTAGGTAATGTCATGCACTCGATATGTATAATTGTGAAGGAAGATCCACTTCATTTCTCCCTCCTCCTAGAACAACAAATATGGTTGTTGGTTTGTAAGACGGTGTTTTCTTGGTATTCAATTCATATGTTCATTTTTTAATAATTGAATGTCATATTGATGTTATCGTTTAGTTGTAGTTTGTATTGGCTAAGCCACAAAATTAAGTTGATATTATATGATGTCTTTCTACGAACACAAAGCTAGAGTCTATTGCAGTCCGTAGTGGTCAAACAATGAAATCAATTTCTCACTCTAACGTGCCTCGCTATGGGCATAAGTCATTTGTAGTGGATAAGTCATGAAATTAGATTGTCACTCTATAGTGTCTCTTTATGAACACAATCTATTGTTTGTTGTAATAGTAGTGAAAAATTCCATTACAAAATTTTCTCTCTCTATTGTGTCACTACATTAGTGGAAGTTAGTTTATGATGTATTTCATACTTCAGCTAGTGGTTTTTTTTTTGTTTTTTTTTTTTGTGTTTCACAAGTGTAGTCTCTTTCCGATGAAATGTGTTCTTAACATAGTGTGAGTGACACCATATAGACATATTGATCTAATTGTTTAAAAATTTGCTCATGGTGCTAGTTGCTTACGAATCATGATTCTTCGAAATTATTAGGGATTTGGGGGTTCATATATAAGAGCATTTTCAATAAAATTAGAACATATTAACATGATATTGGTCTTTATTGAAATCTAAAAATTATTATTATTATATTAAAAATAAGATTAATAACATGATAATTAGGGGTATCAATTGTGTCAGGTTAAACGGTTACGTATTGGGTTAAACGGGTGACGGGTGAAAAACGTATAAACTTATACACAACACGTTTAATAAACGGGTAAAAAATCTCAACACGAACATGACCCGTTTAATAAACAGGTAACACGACACGACTCGTTTAATTCGTTTAATTTTTAAAAAAATTATATTAACAAATTTTAATACTCCATTTTTTTTTACTATTAATTGCACACTTACTTCAAAAAAGAGGAATTTTAAATCAAATCTCATAAAAATAAGACTTGAAGATTTAAAAAAAAAAAAAGCAAGAGGCTATTGTCTTTTATAGGCAACTCACCCTCCCCATCTCCCCTCATTTTTCAATGTGGGACAAAAATAAAAGACATTGGTTTGCCTTTGTCTTTGAAGTGCTCTACAACTCCTCTCATTTGTCTTTGAAAAATAAGATTTGAAGGCTTTAAAAATAAAAACAAGAGGTCATTGTATTTTATAGGCAACTCAACCCTCCCTATCTCCCCTCATTTTTCAATGTGGGACAAAAACAAAACACATTTGTTTGTCTTTGTCTTTGAACTACTACTTTACTTCTTTTTTTTTATTGATTTCTTTACTTCTTTTTTCTTGCTAATTTTTTAAAATAATTATTAATTTATTATTATATTAATTTTATTTAAATGGGTAAACGTGTAATAAACGGTTTGACAGGTCTCACCCGAACACGACCCATTTATTAAACGTGTTTGGCGTGTCAACCTGTTTATCACCCAAACCCATTAAGATCTCACTCAAACCTGTTTAATTTATGTCGATTCGTGTCGGTTAATCGTGTCATATCGAATTTTGACAGCCCTATTGATAGTGGTTGTTGGTTGATAAACCGGATCCTCAAGTGGAATGTCTTCCATGTTCAGAACTTGTCTATCAATTAAGACTTTAAGGCATTAACCATTTACTTTAAAGATTCGACCATCCTTAGGATTCTCTATTTCCATTGCTCCATGTGCAAAAACATTATTCACTACAAAATGGCTAGTCCACCTAGACCTAAGTTTTTCGGGGTGCTTATGGAGTCTAGAATCATATAAGAACACTCGATCATTAGGCTTAAACGTTTTTCTCAAAATATTTTTATCATGAAACACTTTCATTTTAGTCTTATAGATTTTAGAGTTCTCATAAGCATCATTTCTCAACTCCTCTAACTCGGTCAACTGAAATTTTCTCAACTCATCTGCTTCTCCCATGTCAAAATTGAAATGTTTGATGGCCCGATAGGCTTGATGCTCGAGCTCCACAGGTAAGTGACAAGGCTTTCCAAAAACAAGCCTAGCCTAAAGGAGTTTTAAAAGTTGTAAGGTATGCTCAAAGCGCATCAACTAGTCTCAAAGACTAATTTTTGCTATCCGGGTTGACCTTTTTTTGTAAAATTTGCTTAATTTTCCTGTTTGCAAGTTCTACCTGTCCACTTGTTTGAGGGTGGTAGGTAGTAAAGATCGTATGTACCACCCCATATTTTTTCATCAAAACTTCAAAAGAATGGTTACAAAAATGCATACCTTGGTTACTAATAATAGCACATGGAATACCAAATTGAGATAACACATTCTCTTTAAGAAATTTAATTACCGTCTTATTATCATTGCTGTTGCAAGTAGCTACCTCTATCTATTTTGACACATAATCTACTTCCATAATAATATATTGATATCCAAAAGAATGAGGAAATGGTCACATAAAATCAATGCCCTTACAATCAAAATTTTCAATTACTAACATTGTTTTTAAGGGCATCATATTACGATGAGACATAACTCCTAACTTTTGAAAATTTTCACATGAGCGACAATAGATGTTTGCATCCTTAAACAAAGTGGGCCAATAAAATCCACATTGTAGAATTTTTGTATCAGTTTTTTTCATTGAAAAGTGGCCCCCACAAGCTTGGGAGTGACAAAATTCTAAGACGCTGACAATTTTCTTATCAGGGATGCAACACCTTAAAATTTGATCAAGACAGTATTGAAAAGAAAATGGTTATCCTAAAAGAAATTTCGTACCTCAGTCAAGAACTTCCTCTTGTCTTGAGCACTCCAATCCACCTATATCTCACCTGCAGCCAAATGATTCACAATATGAGCAAACCATGGTAGAGAAGTAATAGAAAGTAAATGTTCATCGAAAAAATCATCCCTAATTGATAGGTGGTCAGAGGTGTCCTCAAAGGTGAGCCTCGAGAGATGGTTAGCCACTACATTCTCCATTCCTTTCTTGTCTTTGATGGTAATGTCAAATTCCTGCAAAAGTAAAATCTACAATATTAGTCATGCCTTAGCATCCTTTTTTATAAGAAGGTACTGAAGGGCTGCATCATTTGCGAAAATAATAAATAGGAGAACCAATCAAATAAGCACGGAACTTATCCAAAACAAACACTACAGCTAGCAACACTTTTTCTGTGGTGGAATAATTCATCTGAGCACTATTTAAAGTTATACTAGCATAATAAATGACAAAAGGCTTCCCCTCCTTTTGGTGTCCAAGAACAAAACCTATCGCAAAATCATTAGCATCACACATGATCTCAAAGGTAAAGTCCAATCAGGTGGTTGCATTATAGGTGTTGAGGTAAGCTTGCCAATTAGTGTTTTAAAGGCCTCTTGACAAGCTTGTGTCCATTCAAATGGGGCATCTTTACCTAGGAGGGCACATAATGGTCTAGATATGGTGGAAAAATTATGTATGAACCTCCTGTAAAAGTTTGCTTGACCAAGAAAGGATCTCATATCCTTTACTGTCCTAGGTGTAGGCAACTTAGAGATTAATTCAATATTAGATTGTCAACCTCTATCCCCCTAGAAGAAATAACATGCCCTAAGACAATACGTGAAGGTACTATAAAGTGGCATTTCTTCCAATTCAAAACCAATTTCTTTTCCTCACAACGAGTCAACACTCTCTCTAAATTCAATAAGCATGCATCAAAAGAAGATCCAAAAATAGTTAAGTCATCCATAAAAACTTCCATGTAATTTTCAACCATGTCACTAAAAATGCTCATCATGCAACGTTGAAATGTAGCAGATACTTTACATAATTCAAATGACATTCTACGAAAAGCATAAGTACCAAAAGGACAAGTGAAAATGGTTTTTTCCTTGTCTTCTAATGTAATTTTAATTTGATAATAACCAGAATAACCATCCAAGAAACAATAGAAAGGATGACCGTTCACATG